TTTTTTTTTTGTTTTTATTATCAATGATTCTTATTGAGATACTACACCTACTGTTTTACCGAATAATTTGTTCAAATTGAGACGATAAGGCCTTCCGGCTTTTAAGGGTTAATCGGTCTGAAATGCATTTATCTTACAGTTTGCTTTGACTCATCTGTATCGAAAATTATGTTTAGAGCGCCACTTTACAAGAAGGATTTAGATATGCATCTTGGTGCACTTATCAAAGTTGAATAACGACACGGTCTATTCAGCAGTAAATTAAAGTTCAAATATAAGTTTTGAGGAAAATTGTGTGAAAGAACTCCATCTTTCACTGACTATTATTTTTAACATAATACGAGTTGAATTTTAGCCGGATTGAAGCTGAACGAATTTCAGGAAATCCAATAGACCTGCAGTATATGGCAAACATATAATATTATACTAATTCATTAATTGATATCTAATGAAGATAATTCGAACTTCTATTCGAAACATATATATTTTACTTCTAATGCCTACTGATAATATTCACCTATTTTACCCACCTTGTAGTAGGTTCAGCTGGACGGCTATTCGCTTGCAATCAGAATCCAAAGTGTAATTAACTATAGATTCATAGCATATTTAATAGGAGTTATATCTTGGGCTCAAACTCCGAGAAATCAATTTAGTTGCCTAGCTGTTCACTGTGGGGAGAGGAGTGGTTTCTCTGTTCTCGTTGTATATTTTATCACTTCTCTTCAATCATATTCTCCAAGACAAAAATCCTATGATAAAGGATTCTACACTGTATTTATTTCGGATTATATATAGATATCAACATTCGTACCGCTGATTATGATACAGTACTTATTTTGGCGGCCCGAGCAGAATCCATCTGGGAAGAACAAAAAGCAGAAAAAAGTACCTTGTCAAGCCATTCTGGACTGTCTTCGAATACCAATCAGGACCACAAACCAGAAATGATCACCTATCTTTTAAACGAAGTATACCCTGGCAATCCTAAAGCAATTAATGAACATGATGATGAACATCGAACAGCTGTACGTAGGCAAAACTCTCTTGGGTAGATAATATCATCTTCGATTTTGCATAGCTTCATCATGCGATCTTGCACCGACGACTAGATTATATGAAGTGGTTAATTGAATCTGGAGCAGATATTCGAGTATATTCGACTTATATTGTATGAAATAGAATGTATTTTATCCTTTCTTCAGATCACGACCGTGCTCAATGAAACAGTTCTTCATTTTGCATGTTTTTCGGCAGAAAATGATGAACAGTGTCATCAAATGATAAACATTCTCGTCGAAAAAATGGGAAAAGTTGATAATCGACTTGTTATTCAGAAAAACTCTGATCATCTGACAGCTGTTTGTCTCGCAGCACAACGATCTTTCGAAAAATCAATTAAACATCTTTTTGAATTTTACACATTTTCAGAGCAAGATGATACTTGTGATATTGAACTAGAATATGGCGTTCGTTCGAACAATGCAAGGATTCTGGATACAATTTATCAAAAGCATGAACACTGTCATCAGCAGGTAAACAAGACTGAAGCTCAAGAAGTTCATTTTTACTATGATAAGAAGACGCATTAACTTTTACATAGGTTCCTACTAGCATCAAGACAAGGCAGATTATGGCTTAAATGCAAGTAGATAATCTGAAGCCGTTCATGCTGTTGCATGTAGATAACTGTCAGTCCCTAGAATTCTCACCATCCATCGAGCGAAAAATATAGTTACTAAGGATGTACCAAAAGTTCAAATCACGATCTCTAAAATATTATAAATCAGTAAATGTTGAATGTTTTATTATGGGAGTATATAGTATAACGTCTCGTCTTTAATAATCTACAGAGCGGCTCTATCTTGAATTTAATTCTAACATCTTGCTAGATAAAATCTATTGTAATTTTGGTCGAAAAAAGAGGCTGGCAACATAAAACTAGAATACTAAAAGAAAGAAATATTCATAGTTTTGTTTTATTAAATGCTCAAAATAATCACCATTATTTTCTATACAAAGTTGCATCCTTTTTAACAGTTAGTCGAAAGCCTTTTTAAACTCGTTTATTGGAATATTCTTCACTATGGTGGATATCTCTTGAGCCAACGATTCTTCGTTTGTATGATTAGCCAAATTCCTCTTGATATATAAGCATTTAGCTAAAAGTTGCACGGTGCAAGATCTGGTGAATCTGATGGATGCGAAATTATTTCGATACCTTCCTCTATTAAATAATTAACAACATCTCGATGAGTATGAGGATGATCATTATCATGAAGCAGTTTATATTTTGTGCGTGATGATTTTACTTTTTTTCTTATTTCATTGATAACAAGTATGACACAATTTTCAATATAGTAGTTGTGATCGATAGCCTTGCCTTTATTTACTTTATGTAAAAGAACAGGAACAGTGGATTTAAAGAATAAGCAAAACAGTATTCTAGGCTCAGATCTATTCCAATGAACAACGGTCCTTGGTGGCTCATTTTCACCAATCCAGGTAGAATTGCTTGACTTCCGACCAATCTGTTTGTAATAAATCCATGTCTCATCACCAATAATAATATCACATAACCCAGATGTTCTGTTTCTGAATTTCTGTAAATTTTGGCGACAAATTCTAAATCGTTCTTGTTTTTGTTCGTCAGTGAGTTGATGAGTAACCCAATATGATGTAACTTCTCTCATCTTTGGACAATCATGAATAATTCATTCTATTGTACCACGAGATAGGCCAGTCTCAACCGTGATATCATTATAAGTTGAATATAGGTCATCTTCGATAATGTGTCGTACGCGCTCAATATTTCCATCTATAAGCACTGAAATCGGACGAGCAGATCGAGAACCGTCGCTGAGATCTTCTCTTCCTTCACGAAAACGTTTCGCCCATTTTCTGACCATTGGATATGATGGAGTATCAGGTCCCAATGCTTTTGTAAATTCACCGAAGATTATTTTTGAATCTGTTTCCAAAATAGCTCGAATTCTAATATAACATCGGTTGAATACATTAGTCATGTTTAATAGATCGTTTTAAAGTTGAAATCAGATTCTATCACGATTTGAAGTGGAATGCAGTTCGAATGAGCTGACAGTGAACGATCTCTCATGTATATATACTATCTAAATGTAATATTCTAGAACAGCACGTCATAAAATGTGACGATAAAGAGTAGCCAATGGAAGATATGGAAAATTCCAGAATATACTGGAACATTGGACAAGGATTAGTTAAATAATAGCATTGTCACTAAATTATAGGCTTAGTTCAGCAGGATGTTCGACCTAAATCAAAGATAGAGCTGCTCTATAGATTATTAAAGACGAGACGTTATACTATATACTCTCATAATAAAACATTCAATATTTACTGTTTTATAAAATATTAAACATCGTGATTTGAACTTTTGGTACACCCTAAGTATATAAATGCATGTTCTCCTAATTTCTATCTGTTATAAGCACTTCAGATGCCAAATTTAGAATAAAATATCTGACCATCATACTTAACCATATGTATAAGTTGAATGCCATATCACTTCTCCAAAATATTCGCGCTGATGAATATCGTATACTATCCAGCGAAAAAATTTACTAAATGCTTTAACCTATATGATCAGTATGATCATCTCAATAAACAACGATTCTCCCAATAGAGTAGACCGCTCTGTTTGTAACTCTGCAAGAGTCTCCGTCAGAATATAAATTTAACAAAAGTTTAGCTAACTAATTAAGTAATAGTTCTACCCATGAAAAAAAATTTGATATAAAAATGCGTTTCAACGCATTTTTTTTCTAGTCCACATGTTTTCGCTAGATCTTAAACGCAGTTTTTAAAACGCATTGAAACGCATCTTTTTATTGATAGAAACGCATATGTATCGACTAAAACGTATTTCTAAAAATGCATTGGAATGCATCTTTTTTCACTGAAACGCGTTTAAATGGCATTTTATTATTACAAAAGAATGCATATGAGCGATCCTTCTGAATCATTCTGAAAGTATCCTATTTATAGATAATTTTCCAGTAATGATGGATATATTTATCTAATCTATGTACATATACTTCCTAAGAAGTTGGTAAGAATTACACTTGTGTTTTCCTCCTCTAAAAGACATTTTTTTACATATATTATCGGTAAATATGTTAAAAAATCTTTTAGAAGAGGAAAACACAAGTATAATTCTTGCTAACTTCCTAGGAAGTATATATACACAGATTAGATAAGTATATCCATCATTATTGGAAAATTATCTATAAATAGGATACTTTCAGAATGATTCAGAGGGGATCACTCAAACTCAAACTCTCATTAGGTTGCCACAATTAGTTAGATCTAACTAAAGTTCTGCATGATAATTTTCACTTCTTGGCAGGATAGATAGAGTTAACTTACGACAAACGAAAAGGAAGGTATAGTTCGAGTAAAAGAAATGAAAGAAGGATATAGTTAGAGTAAAAGAAACGAAAGAAGGATATGGATAGTTAGAGTAAAATAAGCAAAAGAAGGATACTATTGAGTATAGTAAACGAAAGAAGAATATTGTTAGAATATAGTACGCGAAAGGAGGATATGATTAGAGTAACATGAAGGAAGACAGGATACGATTAGAGTATAGTAAACGAAAGAGACTTCGTGGTTAGGGTTAATATAACGAAAACTACAGTAATGTTGGACCGAAGAAAAGTTTAGTAGATAGAAAAAAAAGAGGGAAAAATTATCTTGGAAAAATCTAATTCGAGCTAAACGTAGAAAATCTGGTGCGGAATTAGATAGACAAATCGACTAATACTAACACAACACTTTCATTGAAAAACAAATTTATAAGAAATTTTCTGCTCTTCTACGTGTGAATTCAAAATTGCAATTAAATAAAACTGAATTATATCCGAAAAATATATCTAATTAGCTATAACCCATGTAAAAAATTTTCTTCAAAAAATCAAGAAATAATCAATTTTCAATCGATTATAATCATACGATTTTAATCAATAATTTAAGCAGTAATA